TATGCGGCCAATGTACACCGTTTTTGAGTGGGCACCAACTCGGGCCTACAATATTTTTGCTTACATTTTCTTTACTTCCTAGGCAAAGTTCTCGAATACTTCAATATTACAGTTTGTAAAGGGGTGTAAATACGTTATTTTACTCGATAGCCTGCGTAGCTGGCGGTATTGTGTAGTAGTTGAGTGAGATTTGACGGCGGAGCAGTCACGAGCGGCGAAGCCGCGAGGGTATTTCAACCACCTCGTCCCTACTTCCTTTTTTTGGAACACAGCTCCGCTGCCAAAACTTTAATCTCGCACCCACACAATACCGCCAGCTACGCAGGCTATTTACTCGAGAACTTACTAAATTCCTTGGAGTTGTTTTAAATTTGATATAAATCGATGCGCTTCGCGTTCCGTGTTGGTACCGTCGGTATTGCCGGCTTGTTGGCTGACATGACAAATCGGAACCTTGTGTGATTTCAGGTGGTTGGCTTCTCGTCTCAAGACTTGTGTTGAGCAGCTCAACTCCCCCGTCTCGTCTGCCAGTGAAGAATTCATACCGTGGAATAAGCAGCAAACAAGTTTTTCTCACAACAACCGCCATGAAAGAGCTAAGAAAGGTCCTGCCTTTCACTCAGATAAGATTCCTTTGCAAGAAAAAGAGACCTGGACGAACATTCCACATCACTACGGCCGCTAATTCCAAAGGCGAAGCTGTCGTCCAGTTCTTTAGCGGTGCTACAGATGCTTTCCCTGCTTCGTGTGGCTCTTTTGTCATAATGAACAATGACAACTCGAGATTGGCAAGACTTTGTAATAAGTGGGGAAATGAAAGAGGCTCTTACTATGTGGCTAAATGGGGTCATGACGGAATGGATAGAGAAAGTCGGCTGTACAATCTCGTTGCCTTTGTAAGAGCCTCTTATCACTGGATGAACGTAGGAGGCAGTTGTGAATGCGATGATTATAGTAGAAGTGTGTCGTCTGGTGATTTTTGGAAAGTCTATGTTCGATAGCGAGTTATTTGCTGTTCCAGCGAAGCGATAATAAAAGTCCTGTTTCTCGTTAAACTCTGACTAAATTTACTGAACACTCATCTCAATAATGACTCTATTCAAACTTGAAAAACGCCAATTGTAATCATATTATTGAGGCCGCTACTAAAACTTCGTTTCTATGATTTGCTTAAATGATCGTCTTGCTAAAGTGATTATACCTACTAAAATCTGGATATTTGAAACAAATAAAAAATCTGAACGTTCAAGCCTTTATTACTTGGGCGGAGCGCTAAGTAGAGGATTCGCAACACTTAAGCCTGGTTTTCACTAGCGCATAAGCATAAGCATAAGCAAAAGCACATGTGTAAGCAAGTGAAAACTGGGTAGCGTAAGATTAAGCATAAGAAAAACGGACAATTTCGTTCTTCTTGTTCTTGAGCTTATGTGGTAGCTTTGACTAGTGAAAACTAGGTCGACATAAGCACAAGCATAAGCACAAGGCCGTAAACCAATCATAGTTCACTTTCACCCAGACCTCATGGCATGCGAACATATCAAAAGCAATATGGCGGACGCTTCGTCCGCCATCTTGTTTATCATAGGGTTGAGGAGAGCTGGTATCGAGAATTGAGTCAAACACCAGGCTTAAGGAGTGTCCCAAAGTTGTCCCAAGATTGGGACGCACAGTCCTGGAGTTTTCGATCGGTTTGACTCGGCTATTTGGCGAAGTGAGGGCGGAATCAGTTCGAGATATCCCGAGATCACTTCGAGTTCTTTGATTTATTCTTTAATTAATTCGAGGAAGAGATAATTATAAATTTCGGCTTGTCCGAGNCAATTTTGGTCAAATGACAAATAAGCGTCAAGTCAGATGTACATAATACGTCATTATTGATAAAGTATGAGATTGCCCAAATATTTTATGGTTGATTTGATAACCTTAAAGATGTCTTTCAAAGAATATGTGAGAATTAAGTACATAGGTTGTTGCTCATGGGAGATGTTAGCCACTAAAATACCTTAAATTTAGGGTTTGGTCAAAACAGTGAGAAGATGTCCTTACTTTAGGCTAAATAATAGGAAGAGATCGAATTAGAGAGTAAAAATAAATTACTGAGCATTAAGTTTGATAAACATAGAAGATGATAAAGTTGATTAGATTTGAAGTTGTCTTTTCTTCTTGTTGAACAGCCAAACCAAAGTCAGCTAATTAATTATGCAAAAATGAGTAGATTTTGTCGTTTTTAGGGGGGGTCCCTGTAAATCCCAGGGAATTCAATATTGCGACCTTATTTTTTGTGGAGGTTAATATCTCACCACACCCATCAATTGTGCCAAGTTTGAGCGAAATCCGTGATTTGAGCATTATCACCTCCTGCCTGGTTCTCTCATGGACACACTCTTAAGTATTAGGCCAAAAAAGATAATTTGACTTGCATGTCAGGCAAGTTATAGCCTCCCATGCAGGCGTTTTTAGGGGAGCTCGTTTTTCATCCCTCCCCACAAACGCCTGCTCAACCAAAGACAACATTCCTTTCCCAAACTTAGTCAATCACATTGTACTTTCCAAATTCTGGAAAGTTGACCTTGACCGCAAGGTAATCTGATAATTACTTGATCTGCATTAAACACAGGGAAAACTTTCTGACCTCTAATAAATGTTACATTCAGAGCGGCAAAAATAAGATTTAGTTAAAATTTAGAATACTCCATGCACTGCATAACCTTAGCGAAGGAAAGAAAAGAAGGAAAACGGTAACTCTAGGGTCACGTTCATTCGTGTTTAGCCTGTCAACACTTTATTGCACAATTGTTGATTGGTCGCTTACCACGCAAATAAAACAATGGGAAAGGAATGTTGTTTTCCGTTGTGCAGGTGTTTGAGGGGAGCGATGAAAAACGAGCTCCCCTAAAAACGCCTGCGAGGGAGGCTAGGCAAGTTAAGAACAGAATCCACTAGCCCGAAAGCAAAATCCACTAGCCCAGGGCTATGCGTCACTCATTTCTTTGCATCTGCAGTTTAGATCTGATGATGGAAATATCAATAATTTACAACCTATAATAAATCCTTTATTGGTAACATAAGTTAAGTGAAACAAAAATTACCTTTTTTGATGCTTCTTTGAGTTATACAAGACTTGAGGAGAATAACACAAGAAAATTTGGCAACAATGATCATCATGCATTACTTTGAAAGATCATTTACAATAATTCACTGCGGCATGTGTATGTTGTCTCATGAGTCACTATAATATTTATTTAAGATGTTTCCAACTATACTGCTGTTCTTGCTTGACACCATTACCTGATAAAGACCAGGGGCGGGTTGCTCGAAGCCTGGTTAGCACTAACCGTTGGTTAAGAGGTATCAAAATATATAGGTTTTCATGGTATTTAATGCTGGTTAGCACTAACCATGCTTCGAGCAACCAGGGCCAGGAGTACAGCATATACAGCTATTTTGAGAAAGGTTGTGAGAAAAGGTACACGCAACAATCCTGAAGGGTATTGTGGGTAATTTTGAGTTCACTGTTCTTCAAAGAAAATTGAAAGAATGACACGGGAGGCCATAGAGGTATAGTTGCAAATGCTAAAAGAAAGCAACAATGGAAGATTCAACAGCTGCAGTGTCAGGAACAGGGTATTGATCATATCCCATATTACCTTTGCAGATTGTCACGTGTACATTTCTGCGACAACCTTTCTCGAATAGCTGTAAATATTGTGATCAGTGAAAAGTGATTCTTGTAAGACAAGCAATAAATAAACCTGACATGATGCACTTTTTGCCCTACGACTTTCATGCCTCTCGCCCTTTTGCTGATAATTTCATGAGACCCATTGCCTTTCTTGGTTAAGAACCTACCATAATTGCAGTTAAATAAAAGATTTCCCCTTGATCCCCATTAACAACATAATCATATAAAGATTTCAATTCAGGACCGCTCAGGACACAGCTGAAATTTGTATTTGCCAAACACTATGACTATGGTAAAAGACAACATCTCTGCTTATTATTTCTGATCTTTATCAAATTACTTTGTCACTTTGGTAAACCACTGGTCAGGGTGCAGAGCAGATCAGTTTTACAGCTTGCCACCTGGGCAAAAAAACTAGACCAAAAAAGGTTAAGATGAGCATTGAAGCATTGAGCATGTCTTCTGTTATTTGAATTCCCCAGAAAATTTCACACGCCCGCTGAGCAGTCAAGAACAGAATTCAGAAACCCAATTGCAAACCCACTAGCCACTGGCTATCGAACACTTCTTTCTTTGCACACTGCTGGTCCAGAATAGATTAATAAAGCGAATTATTATCAATTTAAACTAACTGGTTTGTAGTTGGATGCAGTCTAAATTTTTTTGCACTATTAATTACTGTTTTAGGGCACCCACTTTAAAAGTGTTATTACTTTTTCATAATCTGAATGACATCTTCATCATTCATAACATGATTAATCCCTACCCTTTGTGGACTATATTTTGTACTGGTGCCCCAGACTAGCGCATACTTAAAAACATCAGAAAGTGTCCTATGAATCGCATGACATACATGCTCGACATTGGCTCCACGTCGCAGTATCAGCCCCCCACTGAAGTTGGGGGGCTCACCTCTCTTCTTTGTGTAGACTCTCAGCAAAGCAAGGTGCTCCCACATCTGTTCTAACAGATAGTCTAAGTTCAGCTCCATCTCACAACTTACAACAACAGAGTGAGGCAGACGAGCAAGACGGTCAACTTCTTCTATGGAAATGCAGTCAATCTTGTTGTAGACATATACACACGACAAGTAGATTCTGTTGCCGCTGATTACATCAATCAGCTGATCTGCAGTGCAATCCTCTCTGATAAGCACCTCAGCATTGAAGATCTTGTACTCATGAAGAATCATCTGCACTAGCTTCTCATCCAAGTGAGTTAAACTGCATGTGGCATTGAAAGAAATCCCACCTCCCTTTTTAACTTTGAAGTAAATGTTTGGCTTGTAACAGTTTAAGCGGATGCCACAATCTTCCAATTCTTTCTCCAGTAAAACTTTCTGGATTTCTCCCTTAGCTGCGTCTAACATCATCACCACCATATCAGCAGTACGAGCAACAGCAATAACCTGTTTACCCCGACCCTTCCCTTGAGAGGCACCTTCAATGATCCCAGGCAAATCGAGTAGTTGGATGTTCGCTCCATTGTATTCTATCACTCCAGGGATACAAGTTAGGGTCGTAAACTCGTACGATGCACTTACACTGGACGTGGACGTTAACTTGTTTAATAGTGTTGATTTTCCAACAGAAGGAAACCCGATCAAAGCCACTCTTGCATCACCAGATTTCATAACATCAAAACCTTCTCCTTTGCCGGCACCAGCTGATTTCGACGGTTCGAGAAGCTGCGAACGGTATTTTGCCAATTTTGCCTTCAGTAAGCCCAAATGGTACTCCGTCGCTTTATTTTTCTGGGTCCTTGCGATTTCTTTCTCAATTTCGCTGATTTTTTCGAGGATTCCCATGTTAAAAATTGCAAATATCTGCCGATCTAGTCCACGTTGAATCGGAAGCAAATGGCGACTGCTCTGAGTCTGCAGTTTTCCAGCGGTGAAAGTAACAAATTATGCGCTCTGTGCCCTTTGAGCATTGCGCGAAAAAGCGCGCGAACAGTTGTCTGTTGCACGACGGTACTGTTTTGATCATTAGAATTCGTCTCATTTTCTCTTGATCTAAAGCTGTAATCCTTTCATTATATACATTTCCTTCTTATTATCATCTGCAAGCATTCCTCGCTGAAGTATGGGCGAGGAAGGCGGTGGAGGTTCCGATGATTTCGATCCACATGGAGATCCCAACACAGACCCTAAGGAAAGAAGAAGAATTCGACATGAATATCGTGAACTGATCGCCGAAACGCAAAGTAAGGACCAAAAAAATGCACATTGACTTCATGTTGCTGTGCTTTCAGTTTTCCTTTTAGCATATTGTCAGCTACGATCTAAAAACCTAACGAACCACGCGACAATCGAAGTGCCTCGCCAGAGGTGTCAAGTTGCAGAAGCACATGAAGCTTTCGTGCATAGTTGATGTACTGAAGTTTTAGTTATATGACTCCTTTTAATTTGTGCTGTTTGGCGATTGTTTTCGTAGAAAACCGACATGATCTTATCAAACCTGACTCAGCAGGATTACACAGAGCTTTGGACAAAGCTGACAACTTGTTTAAAAGTGGTGAGTACCGGTGGCCGATTCTATTTTAATCGAAACATGTGCCACTGTTCTTGCTATCAGGATTTCTTAGCTGATGATTAATTGTTCGAAACTTGGAGAAATGGAAAAGGGCAGTGTAAAATGCAGACTGCGGACTGTCTGCGGACTATTGTTTTTAGGGTTAGAAAACAATGGGACTATTGTTGTGACTTACTCATTTACATGGTGAAGACAACAGTCCGCAGTTTAGGAATGATGATGATGACATGCATGGTGATGATTAACTATAAGATACTGGTACCATACCATGGCAGAGTGCATTATCCTGCAGCCAGCCACTCAAACCACACCAGACATAAACCCACAGTAATGTATTGGTGTAATTCAGATGACAAAGTAACACTATTAGTGTGTGTCAAGCATGAACTGAGGTCTCTTGACACTCCATACAATACAATACAATACAATGCAATACAATACTTTATTCAAGAGATAGAAAACAAAACAAAATATCTTTTGAAAGGGGAGATCTAGATGTTATCCCTATATAATGCATCAGTCAATTCCAGCTGACACCAGGGCATTTGCATTTTTTTGCCTTGGATGGCAAATTCCCGGCGGTGGGGACTCTTGGGCGGAGTTGGAATTTACTGATGCATAAATATCCCTGTATAAAAGATTCCCCAAGATAAAAAAACTAAAATCTAAAAACTAGAAGCTAAAACATTATTCACAGAGTTAAAAAATGTAAAAACTAGAATTATCTAAAATGATGGAAAATATTTACAATAATATTCAATATAAATCGACATTTTTTAAAGCTGGTATTAAAAGACAAACAAATCCTTTTGCATTTGAAACAAATCATATGGCTTCATCTGGCATCAATCGTCTTGAACTGAATGTTGATGCTTGGTAACCAGGCAAATTTTTGAGCACATGCTTGACCCAAGATGGCGGTTGGTTTGCTGTCATTTCTACACTGCGATCTTGCATTTGTTTCAGACCTTTATATCCTGGAGAAAGCTCCCAGATCTGTTAACAGAACTATGAGGATTTTTTTATACAAAAGGGCTTAATTTTGCCAGATTGTTAATGAACGAAATATCCAGGCTCATGTGTTGCATGATGTATCTTGATACTACCGATACATTGCATGTCCTGGTGTCAATACTGATGCCGAAACCAAGACAGCTGACTTGTTTATGGAACAAAAAGGGATTCCCTAAGTATTCGCAGCTTTATAAAACTGCTTTTTGTGTTGATAGATGTGATTTTTTCGCTGTTGATAGAAATATGTAACCTTTTTCGATTTTGTTCATGTTGTGGGTAAATGGCTGTAATCTGCATCGTTGGAAAGTGTGTTGTAGAGGTTAAGGTGAACCTCTTCTCAAGAATCATGGCTGCACCTTATAGCCGGGTATTTTCGCTTAATTTGTAACTGAGTGCACCTCAAAACCCAAAAATACAGTACTTTACCATACCCAAAAACAAAAGAAAAATGAAAATTACCTGAGATAAAAATTTAACTGCAGCACATACTTCCTCAATCTGTCTACTAACAGTCCCCCAATGCTTGTGCTGTCATAGCCATAAAAAAAAAAATCCGTATTCAATTTCAGGCAGAGTTAGATCATTATCCTTTGGTGCTGGACATGTTTAATATATAGCTTATATTATTTTATGTTGTAGTTAATTTTTATTTTTCCATTGTTTTTGGGTATGGTTATATATGCTAATTAATGAATATGAAACAAAGGAAAAATAAAGATTTCCTGAAATAAAAAAATTAACTGCAATATTTATAAGGGAGTGACTTCTACCTGGTCCCATCACTTCCCCCTAAAGTTTGAAAGTGAGGCGTGAAGTTAAATAGGTATTTCTAGGGGAATTGTAATAGAAAAAGAGGAGGTTAAACAAGAGACTGCGCATAGGTAAAATTCAGATGTAATACTTTGTTTCTCCACAGTCAGACTAACTAGAGAAGCTGTCCTTGATTCTCATTTCTTGGTTCTTGCGTCAAATCTTGGTAGTCAGCAAGCGCAACAGTTACAGACTCACTTAGTTACATTTGATCGTGACACCTTTGTCCAAAAATTGGTAAGTATGAGAACTTGAATCCCTCCTAACTCAAAACAGTTTTTCTCCCTCCTTCACTCTAGAACTACTTTTCTTTGTTTTGCCACTTTATATCACAGCTGTGCCTCTGGACCTTTCTATCCAGAGTTCTGTTAGCCTGCTATGAGCTCCTTTAATGCTTGTCCAATTATATCGATTAATGCATAAAAGACAGTTTACTCAGGCATTCTTTTTAGCATCATTGAAAGCGAGCTTAAGCTTTTTCAATCTTGTAACAGATCACTTTCATGGGAGGCAGAAATATAAATGATTTAAGCAGAGAGCATGATGAAGATGATGGAGAGGTGCCCACAAGAAGACAGCGGAGGCCAGGTCGCCTTGATTGGAAGAAGCTTGGACAGAAAGCTTGTGTGGCATTCCGGAGAACACCTTGCATTGACTTTATGTAAGATGACGGGATAGCATCTTTTTTGCTATTGAAACCCTTCTGAAAAGGTTTTAACAGTTAGTGTTTGTCATACAGACAGAATTCTGTACTATTGTTGTCCATTTGTGCTTCATCACCTTTGTGTTTGACTCATTGTTAATTTCAGAATAAATTATCAGTGTTGTCCCATTTTTTTCCTGGTTATGTAAAGAAACAAATGAAGAAAAAAAATAATCATATTATTTTTGCAAGATTTAGCTGTGGATAAGAGATGTATTGAGATGGAAATAATGCAACCTTTGTACATGGAAATGACTGTCAAATTCTAGAGGAAATTAATACAATGGCCCAGGGTTGTCACTAAGTATTTAAATTGCCAGGTAAATACAACATGTCGGCAGGGAATCAAACAGCTAGGGCTTTCTTTTGGTTCTACAGTGTAATTTTCTTCCATTTTCATTTGAAAGACGCTGAGGGCTAAGTTCATAGTAGCCGGGGGACCCCCCTCCCCCGCCCCCCGCCTCTTAATGACAGCCCTGATGGCTTATTTGTTTGAAGATATACTATTTGGGTTTTAATTAGGTTTGGTCCTTTGTCTATGGAACCGCCACCAAACCGATCACGGCAAGCTCAAAAGAAAAGTCCTAAAAACAAGCCTGATGCAAGCCAAAAAGTCACACCAAGTCAGGTAAAAAGGAACTAATAGTAAATCCCCTATGATGTTTTTGTTGTGCAGTCTTTACTATAGATTTACTTTCACCACACACGCAAATACTGCACTAGACTGTGTAGTGTTCTCATAATTATTATGTCCATCATTAGTACCTATACTCAGCAAATGACCTTGGGAGTGTTGTTGTAGGCGGCCATGTATATTGAAGCGTGTTGGACAGTTAAAGTAATGTTCAGTTTACAAGTGATCTTCTGTATTTTAGTGGACATTCGACTGTTAAACTGGTTTAATTCCAGCAGCTAGAGTGTGTTAGTCGTTGTTGATAATTGTGGAGTTTCTTTTGAGAGTGTAGTGACGCAGTCAAATATGACACCCAAGATAACTGCTGCCCTGTTGAAAGTCAGGATTTGGATACCCTTACAGATTATCTTGTGTATTTAAGTGGACACCTGACTGCGCACCATTAAGGCCAGTTAGAGTCAGTCCATATCCAGGGGACTAGCAATGATCGTATCAGCATGTGACAGTACCAACATATATAGGTGACTCTGGTCATCTACCAAGATTCAGGCTTGTAAATTGTTGCTCAAAACANAATTGCAAACCCACTAGCCACTGGCTATCGAACACTTCTTTCTTTGCACACTGCTGGTCCAGAATAGATTAATAAAGCGAATTATTATCAATTTAAACTAACTGGTTTGTAGTTGGATGCAGTCTAAATTTTTTTGCACTATTAATTACTGTTTTAGGGCACCCACTTTAAAAGTGTTATTACTTTTTCATAATCTGAATGACATCCTCATCATTCATAACATGATTAATCCCTACCCTTTGTGGACTATATTTTGTACTGGTGCCCCAGACTAGCGCATACTTAAAAACATCAGAAAGTGTCCTATGAATCGCATGACATACATGCTCGACATTGGCTCCACGTCGCAGTATCAGCCCCCCACTGAAGTTGGGGGGCTCACCTCTCTTCTTTGTGTAGACTCTCAGCAAAGCAAGGTGCTCCCACATCTGTTCTAACAGATAGTCTAAGTTCAGCTCCATCTCACAACTTACAACAACAGAGTGAGGCAGACGAGCAAGACGGTCAACTTCTTCTATGGAAATGCAGTCAATCTTGTTGTAGACATATACACACGACAAGTAGATTCTGTTGCCGCTGATTACATCAATCAGCTGATCTGCAGTGCAATCCTCTCTGATAAGCACCTCAGCATTGAAGATCTTGTACTCATGAAGAATCATCTGCACTAGCTTCTCATCCAAGTGAGTTAAACTGCATGTGGCATTGAAAGAAATCCCACCTCCCTTTTTAACTTTGAAGTAAATGTTTGGCTTGTAACAGTTTAAGCGGATGCCACAATCTTCCAATTCTTTCTCCAGTAAAACTTTCTGGATTTCTCCCTTAGCTGCGTCTAACATCATCACCACCATATCAGCAGTACGAGCAACAGCAATAACCTGTTTACCCCGACCCTTCCCTTGAGAGGCACCTTCAATGATCCCAGGCAAATCGAGTAGTTGGATGTTCGCTCCATTGTATTCTATCACTCCAGGGATACAAGTTAGGGTCGTAAACTCGTACGATGCACTTACACTGGACGTGGACGTTAACTTGTTTAATAGTGTTGATTTTCCAACAGAAGGAAACCCGATCAAAGCCACTCTTGCATCACCAGATTTCATAACATCAAAACCTTCTCCTTTGCCGGCACCAGCTGATTTCGACGGTTCGAGAAGCTGCGAACGGTATTTTGCCAATTTTGCCTTCAGTAAGCCCAAATGGTACTCCGTCGCTTTATTTTTCTGGGTCCTTGCGATTTCTTTCTCAATCTCGCTGATTTTTTCGAGGATTCCCATGTTGAAAATTGCAAATATCTGCCGATCTTAGTCCACGTTGAATCGGAAGCAAATGGCGACTGCGCTGAGTCTGCAGTTTTCCAGCGGTGAAAGTAACAAATTATGCGCTCTGTGCCCTTTGAGCATTGCGCGAAAAAGCGCGCGAACAGTTGTCTGTTGCACGACGGTACTGTTTTGATCATTAGGATTCGTCTCATTTTCTCTTGATTTAAAGCTGTAATCCTTTCAGTATATACATATCCTTCTTATTATCATCTGCAAGCATTCCTCGCTGAAGTATGGGCGAGGAAGGCGGTGGAGGTTCCGATGATTTCGATCCACATGGAGATCCCAACACAGACCCTAAGGAAAGAAGAAGAATTCGACATGAATATCGTGAACTGATCGCCGAAACGCAAAGTAAGGACCAAAAAAATGCACATTGACTTCATGTTGCTGTGCTTTCAGTTTTCCTTTTAGCATATTGTCAGCTACGATCTAAAAACCTAACGAACCACGCGACAATCGAAGTGCCTCGCCAGAGGTGTCAAGTTGCAGAAGCACATGAAGCTTTCGTGCATAGTTGATGTACTGAAGTTTTAGTTATATGACTCCTTTTAATTTGTGCTGTTTGGCGATTGTTTTCGTAGAAAACCGACATGATCTTATCAAACCTGACTCAGCAGGATTACACAGAGCTTTGGACAAAGCTGACAACTTGTTTAAAAGTGGTGAGTACCGGTGGCCGATTCTATTTTTATCGAAACATGTGCCACTGTTCTTGCTATCAGGATTTCTTAGCTGATGATTAATAGTTCGAAACTTGGAGAAATGGAAAGGGGCAGTGTAAAATGCAGACTAGGGACTGTCTGCGGACTATTGTTTTTAGGGTTAGAAAACAATGGGACTATTGTTGTGACTTACTCATTTACATGGTGAAAACAACAGTCCGCAGTTTAGGAATGATGATGATAACATGGTGATGATTAACCATAAGATACTGGTACCATACCATGGCAGAGTGCATTATCCTCAGCCAGCCGCTCAAACCAAACCAGACATAAACCCACAGTAATATATTGGTGTAGTTCAGATGACAAAGTAACACTATTAGTGTGTGTCAAGCATGAACTGAGGTCTCTTGACACTCCATACAATACAATACAATGCAATACAATACTTTATTCAAGAGATAGAAAACAAAACAAAATATCTTTTGAAAGGGGAGATCTAGATGTTATCCCTATATAATGCATCAGTCAATTCCAGCTGACCCCAGGGCATTAGCATTTTTTTGCCTTGGATGGCAAATTCCTGGGGGTGGGGACTCTTGAGCGGAGTTGGAATTTACTGATGCATAAATATCCCTGTATAAAAGATTCCCCAAGATAAAAAAAACTGAAATCTAAAAACTAGAAGCTAAAACATTTTTTACAGAGTTAAAAAATGTAAAAACTAGAATTATCTAAAATGATGGAAAAAATTTACAATAATATTCAATATAAATTGACATTTTCTAAAGCTGGTATTAAAAGACAAACAAATCCTTTTGCATTTGAAACAAATCATATGGCTTCATCTGGCATCAATCGTCTTGAACTGAATGTTGATGCTTGGTAACCAGGCAAATTTTTGAGCACATGCTTGACCCAAGATGGCGGTTGGTTTGCTGTCATTTCTACACTGCGATCTTGCATTTGTTTCAGCCCTTTATTTCCTGGAGAAAGCTTCCAGATTTGTTAACAGAACTATGAGGATTTTTTTATACAAAAGGGCTTAATTTTGCCAGATTGTTAGTGAATGAAATATCCAGGCTCATGTATTGCCAGATTGTTAGTGAATGAAATATCCAGGCTCATGTATTGCATGATCTATCTTGATACTACCGATACATTACATGTCCTGGTGTCAATACTGATGCCAAAACCAAGACAGCTGACTTGTTTATGGAACAAAAAGGGATTTCCTAGGTATTCGCAGCTTTATAAAACTGCTTTTTGTGTTGATTGATGTGATTTTTTCGCTTTTCATAGAAATATGTAACCTTTTTTGATTTTGTTCATGTTGTGGGTAAATGGCTGTAATCTGCATTGTTGGAAAGTGTGTTGTAGAGGTTAAGGTGAACCTCTTCTCAAAAATCATGGCTGCGCCTTATAGCTGGGTATTTTCGCTTAATTTTTAACTGAGTGCACCTCAAAACTGAAAAATACAGTACATTACCATACCCAAAAACAAAAGAAAAATGAAAATTACCTGAGATAAAAATTTAACTGCAGCACATACTTCCTCAATCTGTCTACTAACAGTCCCCCAATGCTTGTGCTGTCGTAGCCATAAAAAAAAAAAAAATCCGTATTCAATTTCAGGCAAAGAGTTAGATCATTATCCTTCGGTGCTGGACATGTTTAATATATAGCTTATATTATTTTATGTTGTAGTTAATTTTTATTTTTCCATTGTTTTTGGGTATGGTTATATAATTATGCTAATTAATGAATATGAAACAAAGGAAAAATAAAGATTTCTTGAAATAAAAAAATTAACTGCAACATTTATAAGGGAGTGACTTCTACCTGGTCCCATCACTTCCCCCTAAAGTTTGAAAGTGAGGCATGAAGTTAAATAGGTATTTGTAGGGGAATTGTAGTAGAAAAAGAGGAGGTTAAACAAGAGACTGCGCATAGGTAAAATTCAGATGTAATACTTTGTTTCTCAACAGTCAGACTAACTAGAGAAGCTGTCCTTGATTCTCATTTCTTGGTTCTTGCATCAAATCTTGGTAGTCAGCAAGCGCAACAGTTACAGACTCACTTAGTTACATTTGATCGTGACACCTTTGTCCAAAAATTGGTAAGTATGAGAACTTGAATCCCTCCTAACCCAAAACAGTTTTTCTCCCTCCTTCACTCTAGAACTACTTTTCTTTGTTTTGCCACTTTATATCACAGCTGTGCCTCTGGACCTTTCTATCCAGAGTTCTGTTAGCCTGCTATGAGCTCCTTTAATGTTTGTCCAATTATATCGATTAATGCATAAAAGACAGTTTACTCAGGCATTCTTTTTAGCATCATTGAAAGCGAGCTTAAGCTTTTTCAATCTTGTAACAGATCACTTTCATGGGAGGCAGAAATATAAATGATTTGAGCAGAGAGCATGATGAAGATGATGGAGAGGTGCCCACAAGAAGACAGCGGAGGCCAGGTCGCCTTGACTGGAAGAAGCTTGGACAGAAAGCTTGTGTGGCATTCCGGAGAACACCTTGCATTGACTTTATGTAAGATGACGGGATAGCATCTTTTTTGCTATTGAAACCCTTCTGAAAAGGTTTTAACAGTTAGTGTTTGTCATACAGACAGAATTCTGTACTATTGTTGTCCATTTGTGCTTCATCACCTTTGTGTTTGACTCATTGTTAATTTCAGAATAAATTATCAGTGTTGTCCCATTTTTTTCCTGGTTATGTAAAGAAACAAATGAAGAAAAAAAATAATCATATTATTTTTGCAAGATTTAGCTGTGGATAAGAGATGTATTGAGATGGAAATAATGCAACCTTTGTACATGGAAATGACTGTCAAATTCTAGAGGAAATTAATACAATGGCCCAGGGTTGTCACTAAGTC